ACTCTACCAACTTGATTTGTGGGGGGGATTATAACTGTTATCTCGATCCCTATCTTGATCGTATGTCAACACGCCCTCCTCCTTGTATTAATTCAGTAGGTACCTTGAATAATTTGATCAAAACTTACAATTTGATAGACATATGGAGAATTCAGCATCCAACAGATAAAGAGTACTCTTTTTTTTCACATGTGCACAACACATATACTCACATTGATTATTTCATTATTGATTCAAAGTTAATATCAAATATGGTGCAAACAAAATATCATGGTATTTTAATTTCTGATCATAGTCCTCTCACCATGTCTCTTAAGTGGTCCCTACCCAAAACTTTTTTTTCATGGTGCTTCAATCCATTATTATTGGAAGACAGCAATTTTCATGATTATATAAAAGCAGCCATTGTTGAATTTTTGTCAAATGACAAAAATGGTACTGTTAATGACTCTATCTTGTGGGAATCTTTTAAGGCCTTGCTGAGAGGCAAGATTATTTCGTATGAAGCTTTTAAGAAGAAGGAGAGGCGTAAACGGCTAGGGAAAATAGAGGTATTATTGTCTGAAGTTGAGAAGGCTTACACCTCCTCTTTGTCCACTGATGATTTATACAGCATTATGAAATTGAAGAATGAATATAATATTATTTTGAGTGATCAGGTAAATAAACAAATACTTAAACTTAGACAGAACAGTTACATGGTGTTCAGGCAAATAGATCTATCCCTAGAATTAAATCTTCTACCGGGAAAATCCTTACTTATCCACAAGACATAAATGATTATTTTAGAGATTTATACTCAAAGTTATATGAGTCTAATTGCAAGGCATCTGATGATGAGATAGAGAAATTTCTTGATTCTGTCGAACTTCCTAAATTGAGCGAAGACGCTAAGGCCGATTTGAACTCTAACTTTACTGTCAATGAAATCTGTGATGCAATAAAATCATTTCCTAGCTGTAAGGCTGCAAGCCCAGATGGGTTAAGCGTAGAGTTTTTTAAATCCTTCACTGATTTTGTTGCCCCATTGTTACATAGAATGATTCAACACTCTATTGCTAGCCATTTATTTCCACAATCATTTTATGAGGCCAACGTTTGTCTTCTACTTAAGAAAGGGAGAGACAGCTCTGACCCTTTGTCCTATAGACCTCTCAGTCTGTTAAATTCCGATCAGAAAGTGGTAGCAAAGATGTTGGCTACTAGGTTAAGTAAACATATTGCATCTCTAGTTCATCCCGATCAAAATGGCTTTGTGTCTGGTAGATTTTCTTTTTTCAACACACATAGATTATTTAATATTATGTATGCTAAACATAATGTAATTGATAAACCAGTGGTAATATCTCTTGATGCAAAACGTGCATTTGATCGGATTGAATGGAGGTATATGCATGCTACCCTGAGACGTTACGGTTTTGGTGACTTTTTCTTATCTCTCATCAAGGTCCTTTATGCTAGTCCTACCTCCGCAATTCTCACTAATGGTAACAGGTCATCATTTTTCAAGCTTGGGCGGGGGACTAGGCAGGGTTGTTGTGCCAGTCCTCTGCTGTTTAATCTTGCACTCGAACCCCTGGCCATTAGTATAAGACAGCTTAACACCATTAAAGGCATCACAATCGGTAACATTGAATGTAAAATATCTTTGTACGCGGATGATTGTTTGATTTTTCTATCCGACCCCCCGTCATCCATCCCGCCACTCCTCTCATTAATTAATTATTTTGGTACTCTGTCTGGGTACTCCATTAACTGGAGGAAAAGTTCATTTACACCTCTTACTACAAATTTGGATCCCCTTTTTCTCAAATCCCTGCCCTTTCAAATTGCCAAAGACCAGTTTTCTTACTTAGGCTTGTCTATACCTGTAAACTCCAATCATTTATTTAAGAACAACTTTGATGTCCAGCTAGACAAGCTTAAGAGAAATATTGATTATTGGATGTCTTTGCCACTTTCTCTTATAGGGCAGGTTAATGCAATTAAAATGGTGTCGCTCCCTAGGTTTATGTATTTGTTTCAAAATATTCCTATTTTTCTTCCGTTGTCATTCTTTAAATAACTCGATTCTATAATTATGCCTTTTATATGGGGATATAAAACCCATCGTATTTCGAAGGCACACCTACAAAAGCCCAAGAAACATGGGGGTTTTGCCCTTATTGGGCAACCAATGCCAGAGCTTTCATTTTTTGGCAGGATCAGCTCCCTCAACGTAGTGAGCTCAGTGACACACCCAAGTGGGTACAATTGGAATCGCATGCTGCAAGAAAGTTCACTTTCAGCTCTTCTGTTTTGCACGATAGATTATCCTTTGCATCTAGCTGAGGATAGTTTTGTTCTGCAAAATTCTATTAAAATTTTAAAACAAATTAGGAAGGTTCTTCAATTACCTGAATTTTCTATATATTCTCCTATTTGTTTCAACCATAGTTTTGTTCCAGCTCAGTCTGATCAAGATTTTGCATTTTGGAAAGAAAGGGGACTGGTTACCTTTTCAGACTTGTACTTTAATAATCATTTAGCTTCCTTTAATGAGCTGAAAAAGAGCTTTTCCCTTTCTCAAGCCCATTTTTTTCGTTATTTACAAGTTAGGCATTTTGTTAAAGAAAATTTAAATAACTATGTAAATCCTAGCATGGAGCACTCCTTTTTTGCTATAATGAAACAAAATCCGGGATCTAAACACCTTGTCTCAAAATTTGTAATACTGTTTTCTAAATTGTCAGTAGTGTCAACAAACCACATCAAGTCTGCCTGGGAGGCAGATCTAGGTGTGGAGCTGTCCGATGAGGTGTGGAGGGAGGGGATGGAAAGGATTCACTCAGGTTCAATCAATGCAAGTTTGCAGCTGATTAAATATAAAAGTATGCATAGATTACATTTCTCCAAAGAAAAGCTGAGCAAAATGTATCCTGACGTTTCTAATATCTGTGATAGGTGCAACCAAGAAATAGGGACTCTGGGTCATATGTTTTGGTTCTGCGCTAAGATTGTTCCTTTCTGGCAACAAATTTTTTCATGGTATTGTAAAGTTTATGATATACGGCTGGAACCAGACATAGTTTTTGTTTTGTTTGGTTGCTCCGAAGCCCTTTTCTCACTTCAATGCTCTATGCAGGAGACCATCAGATTTGGCACTTTGGTGGCAAAAAGGTTCATTCTTAATGATTGGAAGGCTTCCGACCCTCCTAGCTTCTCTAGATGGCTCAGAGAAATAGTCTCAGGGATGTATCTTGAGAGGCTTCGTAGCAACTAAAATATATCATCTGTTGAGTCCGAGTGTATCTGGGGGCCCATTATCAAACACCTGAACTCTTTGCGCAGGTTAGCTTTTGCCCCTGCCCTACTTTGAGAGGTTTTTGTTGGGTTTTTTTCTCTTTCTTTCTTTCTTTCTTTCTTTCTTTATCTGTACGGTATGTAAGTATATTCTTTGCTCATTGCTATGTTCCTTACTTGATAGGCTGTTGTCATAAATGGGAAAGGAGATAATTGTCTGGCTGTTCGTCGGGTGCTGTTTATTAGGTTGTCTTTGTTGTGTTTTGTGCGTATTTGCATGTGTACACGTCCACTACCATAATATAGAGCACCATCATTTGTGTTTATATGGAGATAATGTTTGGATTATCGCAGATGTCTGGGTTGTTTTTGATTTGTTTGTTTTTCGTTTTTGTTTTGTGGCTGCTGTTGTTTGATGTATGTACTTCTGTTTTGTTAAATAATAATAATAAAAAAAAAAAGGCTTTTTACGCAAAGCTTGCAAACTTGAAACACATACAACTAAATGAACACCCAATTTTTTCAAGTATCTGCACTCCACAATATTTCGCTGTTTGTCAAACAATATCGTGGAAAAATGAATCGTAAATCATGATAGTTTGCACACTACAAAAGAACATTAGACTCACTTTCAACTACAGCCAATAAAACAACTCACACAATATGAATATTTCTGAATCAACCAACTTCAGTAGCTTGAGGAAGAATACTGTGCAACTAAAGATTGTCAGCTTCTATATAAAGAAGATGTAATGTATGATTCAGGGCCAAATCTTTGTTTGACAGGCATACATGCCCTTACATTTGGCTTTGACAAAAAAATTTCAAACTATTTTTCTGTTTTTTATGCAGCATAACCACCTACTTGAAAAGTGAGTAGAGCTTTAGCCCTCGGAGAGCTGTATGATTAACTCCACATGAATACCTTCTTATTTGTTTAATCCTCTTCCATTTAAGTTCACTGATGCCACAGTCGGATCATTTCACAAAGTGATGGAAGCAAACTCATGTAAAACAACAAGATCAAAACATAATTTCATTTTTTTTATGATTGACCCGTCAAGTGATCCATCTCTCTTTTCTCTCTAAGTACCTTCTACAAAAGGAGCATATTCATATTAGCAGTATTTATATTTCTGCAAGAGCACGAGTGTCTTCATGTGTGCCCACAAAAACACAGACAGACAGACAGACAGACACAGCTGAGGTTAGGAAGGAGGTCAGGAGAGAGGGACCATCTGATGCCAGCAGATGGAGTGATGGAGGGAGGGAGGGAAGGAGGAGAGGAGAAGCTCAAAATCAGGACGACAAGACCAAATGCTTATCGGCTGTTCTTAAGGCACTGATTTCACTTTACATCCTGTCTGCTCCAGCGCATCCACCTTATGCTAGACTTTGGGGTAGAAGAGATAGTATGTAACAGAAAATATCCTATAACTGTGAGTTTGAGAGCGGCACATGAATAATTCAACTCAACATGCACCCCAAAGGTGTTTATTATTTACCATTGTTGCATAGTAATGATGAAAAAATACTTAATACACACCCATTTGGACAAATAGGGCAAATAAGGCCTCTCTGGATGCTCTTCTCTCTCGCAACTTCTCTGTGTTTTAACGTGCAGTTGTTGGACCCGTTGCAGCGGCACTATCTCAGAAACACATTTGCCTCCCTGCCACCTGAAGTCACCTCTGTCTCTCTCCCCGTCTTTGTTGTAGAATGGAGCAGTTCCAGGCGAACCAGTGAAGAAGGATGAAAACTCTCGGAGAGGGAACTGGGGCAACCAGATTGAGTTTGTCCTCACCAGCGTGGGCTATGCTGTGGGCTTGGGCAATGTCTGGAGGTTTCCTTACCTATGCTACAGAAATGGAGGAGGTATGCTTTTCAGTGTAATAGTGGTTGACTGAATGACTTTATTACTGCTGGCCAATGGCACGCCACATAAATGTGTTAGAGTACAATTTAAGTACAGTACTTTAAGTATATTTAAAAACAGACATTACATAATACCCACATTTTAATATATGCACTTGCCTTGAACAAGGAGTTCTCTGAGGTGATGATGAAGTTGAATACTGAAAGAATTAACCCGACCGTGCAGTGAAATGATGATGTCAGCACTTGCATATTTAAAACCTATCTAACCTATTTAAGACTATCTGTAAGTAAAAATTTTAAAGCTCCTTAAAGGAATATTATTGACCTGACCACAGACTCAAATGTAATGTTTTGGTGCATATGGTTGACTCCCAGCGGCTCTCACAAGAACTAGTGTGTCAAAACAAGCCTAAACAGTGCACAGGTAGAATATAAAGGAAAAAGGCACACAACTACTGGGCTGCAGCGGCTATTTATAAAACCATTACTGAGTTTGTGTGAATTATGCTAGAATCTAATTAATGTCTCAGCTAGTAAAGACTTGTAAATGGTTGCTAGGGAACTGTGCTGTGAAAAGCAATCAACGACTATGTAAACTGCAAGTCTTGTTAGCAGTGGAGGCTGTAACGGAAGTTATAGTTTAAGGGCGAAAACGTTGGATTCAAACTTGACTGTCTACATTTTGTAAACTGAACTCAACTGCACACAGAAGAAATACATGTGTTAGTTATATTCATACAGTTTAGAATGAAAGGATGACTGATTTTATTTGGTCACTAAGTCTGTTGTCATTAGCATAGTAAATCGTAACTTGAGGTGTATTGTGTATTTTTGTGAAATGTAATAGAAAGTCTTCAAGTTCACATCATTAAAGTCAGATATGCCAGCTATGTTCCATAATAGGGCACTGCCACAATTGGATCATTTCATATCTATTTGATTTATGCGGCTGTCTTCACCAGCCCCATGACAGAGTCCATCTTTATTAATATAGCACTTATGGAGTTATAGCAATTATGCTGTCCAAAGTGCTTCATGGACCGAAACTGAAACAGCACAGAAAGAAATAGAAAAGACCAAAGATAAGATGTAGAAATTAAGACACCAACTGACAAGGCACTTTCAGTAAAAGCCAAGCTAAAAAGATGAAAAGTTTATTTTATGGCCACAGAGGTGGAGACAGAGTTGCTCAGATCCTCAGACAGACTAGGGCCACAGGCAGTGGTGTAGTGGAGGGTATACTGGGTAAACCCACCTCTTTTCTGGCTGTTTACAGTATACCCACCAATAAGCCATAAAGCCATTGGAATATATAACAGAGAGTTCCCACTTCCTCCTTGATAACCCACTCATCTACCTAATAGTTCACCTATCTCATCAGCTCCCACCACACCACTGACCGCTACTTCAATCCAAACCATCTTTTCAAGCATTGAGTCTATTTTTGCTTAACTACATTATTGTTTATTGGGGTGTGAATGCTGTCGAAATGTGTCTGAGTGCATGGAATGAATCCAGCTGCTTCCGCTGACGTGCTACTTTTGCTACACAGCCACTGTATTTAATGCATAAGAACATGATGAGACAGACTATATTCAAGCCCTTGAAGTCCTCTGCCCTCTGGTCAAATGCATCATCAAATCCCTTGATTAAATACGCTAAAATGTGTTCAAAATAGTGCCAGAAAATTAACTAGAATAGTACAAAAGTATAGTGAAAGGGAGTGAGTTTGGTCAACGTCCTGTAACTGTGCCTCAGACCTTTCTTTGGCATCTGTCCCACTTCACTTCATATGTTTACACTGCAAATATTTGGATTAGTGTTATGCATGTAGAAGACCTGCATTCTCGCACAAGGATTCAGCATATGTAGGTCATACATTAGCTCACACACAGCTGCAAATAGTGCAGCGTGGACACAAGAGCTGAGCTTTACCAGCAGGGTAACGATAAGGTTTTGGTATTATACAGTATCAGCTGGTTGCACCGACCCAGTTCGCATATGGACACTCATACGAAAGCACGCGCACACACACACACACACACACACACACACACACAGACAGTCCCTATAGATGACTGTCTGGTTTCTGGTCCAGTCTGAACCACCAGAGAGTTGCTGCACCACTGAACAGCCTCAGCTGCACATGCAGTGACCTCTCTGCTCACCCAGGGGAGGTTGTTGTGACAGATGAGGTTTATGTTTCCTTTTTTTATGTTCTTTTCTTTGGCTTTAACTGATTATAATATTCAAATTCTTCAGGTTTTTTATATTTGTTTCCATCACATGAGATATCTAATTTATGTAATATATGACATTACTGTTGGGAAGTATTAAAGCATTTTTCTGTAGTTCTATACCATTCCACATTGCACATTTCTAATGCATCCATGTTTTTGATGATGATATGGTGTAATTGTCTCGCCATGTGATTTTACCTATGCATGTTGTAGTCAGAGATATCTTTCCAGATTGCTTTGTCATTCCCAGCCATGTCTTTCTATGGACCATAATCTGATTAACATATATTTACTGAAGTATCAGTAAATAAAGAACTTCTGCAAATTAGTTATTGCAACTGCCAGTTTGTCACTTCACGTGTGTTTGAAATGTGCCGTGTGGAAGTTTCTCTTTTTTTTTTTTAGATTATTTTTCTGGGCTTTTGCCTTTAATGGATAGGACAGTGTGTGAAATGGGGAGACAGAGAAAGAGAGCGGGGACTGACACGCAGCAAAGGGTCGCAGGCCAGACTCGAACCCGCGACTGCTGAAGTGAGGCAATGCCTCTGTACATGGGACACTGGCACTATCCACTACGCTACCAATGCCCCGGAAGTTTCTCTTAAATGTTTTGCCTTTTTGGGAAACAGAATGCATGGATATCATTTTTAAATGTTTTCTTTGTGCTTAATATCTTTTTAGTTTTGTGATTTTTTTATTTGTTATCAGTCCAGTGGACGGTTTAAATTTGGGAGCAATTAGTTTGAGTGTAAAACAAACCAATCAGTATATGTTTGTGAATTCTTTCGGGCTGAAGAGTCATAGCATTTCCATCCAGTGTTGTTTTTTCCATCCATCCAAAGATGCACTTTATGGTTTCTAATATAGATTATCATCGACTAAATATGGTAAACAAGCATAGTAATGGTGTTTGATTTCATTTCAAACCTGATTTCTTTTTAGTTTAGAGAGTATGATTTAAATTTTGTTTCATATTTATTCTCCTAAGATCTTCCTCGTTATCAGTGTTTCGGTTCATTTTGTAGAAAGTCATTGTCATTTTCCAATGCCTTCATCTTTTCAAGTGTTAATTGTAAAGAAAAATGTCAACACACTGTAAATACATAACATTGATTGCATAATTTGTCTGATTTATTTTGTCTGGTAGTACCTATGAATCAGGTCCTTCAACATTCCACAACTTTTTTAACACTTATCTAGCTGTACATTGATCATTGTTTTTGACAGACTACAGTCCAGGACATGTTTGCCTACTAGGCTTCTATGCTACTGTCTGGAAAAACACAAAAGTGTCATCACATCAACAGTAATAAAGCCCTAAACATACACAAATTAGACATTAGAATAGTATTTTCTTTCCTTTTATATGGCCCAGTTTATGTCCCCTTGCTGTTCATATGCAACTTCCAGTTTTAAACATCGACCAAGACAGTGACTGAGTGCTTGTCTTATGCCTCTCCCCTTTCAGGTGCCTTCATGTTACCATACTTCATTATGCTGGTGTTCTGCGGCATTCCTCTCTTCTTCCTCGAGCTGTCCTTCGGTCAGTTTGCCAGCCTGGGGTGTTTGGGAGTATGGAAGATCAGCCCTATGTTCAAAGGTTAGTGTCAATGTGTTTGTGTACATAAATCACATGCAAACATCAATTTTGGGGGCAAAAAAACATTTTTTGCTTGAAAATACATGTTGGAGCCTCTTATTTGCGGTCATGGGTTAGTGTTGGGGTTAGGTGTCTGTTTGTTTGTGTGGGTTGTTGTGACAGGGCTGCCAGCTTTTCAGTTTATTTTGGAATGAGATTCAGTGTCTATGAAGTCAGTGCATTTTATGAAAAGGCCTTTTGTGACATATTTTTTTCAACATGATAATGATGATTTTTCAACCAGCTGTCATGGCATTAGTGCCAATAAAGCTCTGTCTGTCATGACAGTCACTCTCTTTACAGCCATCTGCAGGAGGTGTCTGCCTCATTTGCAGTCTCTAACTGGAGTGATATTGAGCACTGTCTAGCCACAATTACACATGGCAGATCCACAAGTTACATTTTGGGCAACCAGCACCAGACTGTTGTCAATAAACCCCAGATCACTGCTTGCTTAAGTTCACATCACACGTTTTCAGGTTGTCCTTAGGTATATACGTACGTACGTCTCATTCTTGTCAACGCAATATGTCAAGAATGCCCGAAGGAATTTCTTCACATTTGGCACAAATGTCCACGTGGACTCAGATGAACTGATTAGATTTAGGTGATCATAGGTCAAGGTCACTATGACCCTGCATCCATCTCATTCTCTTAAACACAATATCTCAAGAAAGCCTTGAGGGAGTTTACTCAAATTTGGTACACATGTCCACTTGGTCTCAACCATGAACTGAATTTGGTGGTTGAAGGTCAAGGTCACTGTGACATCACAAAACATGTCAATGGCCATAACTGAAGAATCTGCACATTGTTATGCAAAAACTTCACACAAATGCCTAGTAGGATATAGTGATGAAGTGATCTCATTTTTTATCCAAAAGGTCAAAGGCCAACTTCACTCTAATATCGTAATGTTTTGCAAATAACACTTTCCTGGCTGTTACTCAACGTCATATCTCGGGAACAGAAGTGGAGACATTTGGTCAGATACTGAATTGATGACACTAATCTTGGATGCCCTCTTTGAAACTGTGTACATTGTTTAGATCTTCTGTCCTGCCTGGGGTAAGATGTTTGTGATGCATCCATCTTTTCACAGACATGGATGTAAACTCCAACTGCAACTTGACTGGTTCGTGGAGGCATAGAAGTGCAAAGCAATAATTCTAGTCCTAAATAATAATATTACAATGTTTTTTTGCACATCAACACATTAAAAACAGTTCACACAAAAGTTCACAAAAATTGTAAATCACTTAAAACTTCTCACTCTGCTTATAACTTCTTTAGGACTGTTCTTTCTGATCCCACCTTGTGCCCAGGTGCACCACAGGTGCAGCAAGGGAGCCTTGCCAAGAAAATACCAAAAGTTCATTTGGCACACTCCCGATGCACTTAGTAGAGCGCACCTGACTGTGATCTGGCCATGCCGCTAGTTTCACAAAAACAGAGCCTGCAGTGTCCTTTTGTGTGCACAGAGCATCAACTAACCATTGACGTGTGGAAGAGATTAAAACAAATTCTCTGTGCAGAGAAATTACTGAAAGCTGCTGATTCCAAGGACAGACAGGATGGACATCTGAAACATCAGGCAGCACTTAACACATGTTTGATAAAATCATATGGTTTATCCTGCTGTAATATTGTTTCCATACAAGTGTCAGCTTTGTCAGCTGTATACTCTACAGTATGTGCGCATGAAGGTATCCAGGGCAGCCCATGTTTACAGTTACACAGTTTGTCACTGCATTAGAAAATGGGCATGTGGCATGAGAGTGTGTAAAAATTACTAATTGTGAGAGTCTTGCAGTCAGTGTGTGAGAGTTGGTCGCCCTTGGTTTCAGTATCTCAACACAGGAAGATCACAGATTTAAATATCACTCAACTTTAAGAGTTGTTGTTATCTAAGGATTCAGTGCATGATAAAAAAAAAGTTTAATTTTGAATTGAAAAAAGTTGAATTCATTATTAAAGATCCATATTCAGCAGCTTGTTGTTTTTAAAGTGAAGAAACTAAAACTTTAACTACTGTGGATGCACCTATGATGTATCAACCATAATAAAGGTTCTGTGTTCATAACAGAAAGCAGCTCCGTACTGCTATCGTAAGGATGCAGCCTCCAGCATGATGGTGACTCATCTTGTGCAAGGCTGTCATTTGCTTCACATTCAAATTCTAATGTTCTCCCATCCTGTCTTCTTATCCCTTCAGGTGTGGGCTACGGCATGATGGTGGTGTCCACCTACATTGGGATCTATTACAACGTGGTCATTTGCATCGCCTTCTACTACTTTTTCATGTCCATGACAAACTTGCTGCCATGGACCTACTGCAACAACCCCTGGAACACGCCAGACTGCAGCGGGGTGGTGGGCGGCAGCCAACGGTTCAATGCCAGCCTGGCTAATGCTACCACAAACCTGGTAGCAGGGGTGTCAGAGGTAGTCAACCGCACCAAGAGGACCAGCCCCAGTGAGGAGTACTGGAAGTAAGTCTCTGGAGTCCAGCAGCAATATTTATTTATTAGTAAAATGAGCACTGGTGATCTGCATTGTGCAAGATTCTTTTCAGTATTGATCAACAAACCCAAAATGCAGCCATATGGTCAAAAGAATATCTTTATAGTAGTTTTAGTGGGGCAACAATTCGTATGATAGTTCAGTTTAATTTTGCCGAGTTATGCAAGTGATGTCTTTGGACTCAGGCCTATCATACTTGAGGTCAAAATTGACTTGCACCTGTAAGATAAGCTTGCTACAAACATGCCTCCTGTTTGCAGAAAGCATACAAATATTTGGACTAGATTTTACTGGAAAGTGACATGCAGATGGTCTCCCATATTGTCCAGATTTTTGGCACAGCTGTATTTTATTGGTTCAACCACAAAGCATTTAACAAATGAGCTGCTGGGTTGTGTGTAGAAGGTCAATGAGGGTATATCCGAGTGCACCTGCTATTCATGTTCATATACAGTGGGTGCAGCTGCACTGTGTAAAAACAGGCTTTAGTGAAGTGAAATATAAATCAGTGGGTTGTGGTGCTCGATTATCTTCTAAGTCACATTACACAACTGGATGGGATGGTACAGAGAGACAGAGAGGGAGAGGATAGGAATGAGACAATTTTAATTGTTTCATTCACTCTTTCTCAGGTTGTTTCACCCAAACTAGACGAGTACAGAGCAGCCGTATAACCAACCAATTTAATGTGCCAAAAGCACATATGTTTCTGTGGTCTTTTTACAGCAGCATGGTATTGGTCGCACATGACTCGATCAAGGTCCCCAGTGTATCATCATGAGTAATGGCTCTGCAATTCAGATATAAAACGTATTTAAAATGCCCATTTAATTTGCATTAAGCGTGTATTATTTATGTAGAGGTGTATACAAGTTGCAGAGTGTTGAATTAAAAGGGTTTCATTCAGTATTATTTGTCAGTTGCTGCACATTCGTATTCTCAATGTCAGAGAGCCATTCTTCACCAAAGTACCATTACTTTGCCTCATGCTGTTATATCTTATTGCACCTGTCCATCCAACTTTGTACCTTTTATTGTGCATGAAAACAGCAAAAGGATGGGCAAAGTGCATTTCAAAGTCAGGACGACACCAATATCATCTCACTGCTCTCCTAAAGCACATGTGAACAAACGCAGAATGTGAGCACAATGTTTTTCTTTGGTAAAATCCTGTCCGGGTGAGCAAGCACTGTTAAGAGGGATGTTTATTTGGCTAATCCTTGCTAACAGATTATTCGCTGGCCTGTGTGTGGCATATAACACAGACTATACCTCACTTTTCATTGGCAGGCTTGGCATAACTGTTTTAGACCATTTATACCACAGAGGCCATTAAAGTTTGGATGTTCATGTAAGTAACTCTAATCCCGATTACAGCAAACCCCTAAGGCACTATAAAATTACAAAATCTATGATAATTAGCCACATTGTTTCGGCACTTATTCATCTTTCTGTCTCTGTTTATACTGACAATACTGCAATCATTCATCAGGCAGATGAGAAGATGAGTAGATTGTATAATTATGAAGTAAATTAGAATTTCCATTCTAAATAACACCATTAAATTGTTTTTCAGAGCAACAATGTTTGGGAAATCTAGGTCCTCATTTTTGTTATATGTTGTCACTGTCTGCGTCCCATTTATGGAATTTGAATTAGCCACAAACTCATTGATTCTACATTTAATAACTAGTAAGTAATAAAGCAGTGCAGACCACCAAAAAGTCAGTAAGCAATGATATTTCACAGAAAAACATTACCTTGTGGATGTCTTTGGTCATGCCTATAAGTATCACTTGCATTGCCCTTAGACGAGACAAATATCACTTAAAAGTCAGACACATTCCCATTATTGACAAGTCCATGGCTTAAAGGCCTCTCATAATGTATAGCATCTTGTGTTTGTTCAAGACAGAAGACGCTTAGTGGTGTCGTTAAAGGCTGATGTTGCCTTTTCAGTGTTTGCTAAAAATTAGAAAATTATTCCTCTTTAAAAAGAAAAGCAAGACCTTAAGTCTTAATTTCAAAGACCTGTAAATGTCAGATAGTTTAACGTCTGAAACTCTCTCTACCTCCTCGTGTCTGTCTCTGTCTCTGTCTCAGACACTACGTGTTGAACATCTCTGATGATATTGGGAACTTTGGAGAGGTCCGTCTTCCTATTCTGGGCTGCCTCGCTGTGTCTTGGTTTGTCGTCTTCCTCTGTCTCATCAGGGGCGTTAAATCCTCTGGAAAGGTCAGCTTCACTCAAACACACAAACACACACGCTTGCACACATGCGTAATCACACTCAAAGACATCGAGGCTTGACCATATGCAGAAACCAACCTAATATTCAAACTGTATCTTCAGTATTTCTACTAACATCACACTTTTCATGCACACAGGCATTCTTGACTCTTGTCACTTTGCTAAAGAAAATTACTACTTCCAACTGATCGTCACATCGTCTGACTATCTGTGTGTGCATGTGTGTGTGTGTAGGTGGTGTACTTCACAGCCACATTCCCCTATGTTGTTCTGACCATCCTGTTCATCCGTGGCATCACCCTGGATGGAGCCATCAACGGCATCAAGTACTACCTGACTCCACAGTGGCAGAAGGTCCTTGATGCAAAGGTATTCACTTTAACACATAAGCAGACAGATGAAGAGATGAACTAGAGATAGAAATTTCCTTTTCACTACCTCTCACTGTGTATGGTTTTCTTTTTGTAGGTGTGGGGAGATGCAGCGTCCCAGATTTTCTACTCTCTGGGCTGTGCATGGGGTGGTCTTATTACCATGGCTTCCTATAACAAGTTCCACAACAACTGTTTCAGGTTGGTACTCCAGAATATGGATGAACAAAAACAAACTACACTAAAGGAATAATTCACCATTTTAGGATATACACCAGGGATGCACAGATTCTGAAATCTGGGTCATTATTGATATTTAAAATAAAATTTGGCCAGAATCAATGTTATTTGTCGTCATTGTTGTTGATTTTTTTTTTGTTGGTTTGTTTTGAAAAAATGCGTCCCCTGACTCATCAGTAGTGAGTTTTCTGCAACCTTTTGTTCTGAAGGTGTCCAGGGGAAGATCTCTGTTCATCCCAAACACGGTTTCTATTGTCCGTGGGACACAAGGATGCCTAAGCCTCGCTTTTTAGGCTGTTCAGCATTAATGTGACACAACAGAAAAACATCAACCACTGCCATCAGTGAATGTCATCTTATTGCCAATAGGTGCGTGGCAGTCAACAAGATATATATCGGCTGATACCAATGTTCAGCTGATAAATCGTAATATCACTCATAAGCCCCTTTTACACTGCCAGATTTTCTGCGAATATTGGGCCATTTTGTCAGCCAGCTGCGAGCGTTTATACACACAGAGGCAGAATGGCGAGTAGATCCAAGGCACCCAATTTTCCGCCTCGTAGGGTAGTCATATTGACGGAACCCTTTTAGTTTAAACAGACCGAGGCGGCCTCTCGCAGCGGGAGGGGCTGTTGATGACGCCACACGTGCGAGCCACTGGCGGTGGATAAACAGGAAACAGCTGATAGCAGGAATGAGCAGCTATTAGCAAGAGGGAAACGCAAACCTGACAGACCCTGTAAAGATGAACAACTGAGGAGACAAGGAATTGCGCGTTCTCCTTGCCCTCGCAAACGAAGAGGCCATTAACCGTCAGATGACGGGGACGGTGAAGAACGGGCCGATTTACGAGAGAATCGCCGCCTGACTATCGCAGCCTGACTAGCTGCAGCTTCCCTCCCACGTCACTGTTTACATCACATGCTGAGCTTGCTTTCTTGCTGAGAATTACATGAAAAGATTGATAACACCGTCCTATCTGTATGGCAAATATGTAGCTGGAGCCAGAATACAGTTAACTTACCTTAGCTTAGCATCAAGACAGCTAGCCTGCCTCTGTCATTGACCAAATCTGCCTAGCAGTACCCCTGAAGCTCACTAATTAAAATGCTATATTTGTTTGTTGAATACCAGCAAATACAGAAGAGTGAGAACAACACGTTGTTTTTTGAGTTCTTTGGTTTTCTGGAGGGTTATGTGCTGGACTACTACTGGGGCAGTGACCTCCTGGTGACCTGCTGTCACAGAGGGTTTGCCAGACAACCAGAGGAGACTTCAGGCAGTTACTGCTCCCAAACAAGATATCGTCCAGATCATAACCCCCATAAATACAATAGTGTGTCATTTTTACTCTGTGGTTTTTGGACGGATTGAACAAACGAAAAGTAACATGCTGATTAGCATTAGGTGAGCATTACGTGCTGGTGGGCAGACTTTTTTTCCTTACCTTTGGACAGACTCAAGCTTGCTGTGTATCCTCTGCTACACTGTTAAACTAATGGGCTGCTGGTTGTGGCCTCATATTTAACTCTCATGAGTGCCTAACCAAGCAAATGTGAAAGTATTCCTTTAAGAGATCAGATGAAACCCTCACAATAAAAAAACAGTCTGGTGCAGTCTTTCTAATTATGGCTAATGACGTAAAGGTCCTTTATGTTGTGCGCAGACTAATGCTATTATCAAGCAAAAATGTATACTTAACATGTCGGCCTTCCAGAGACAAAGACAGCTTGATGACCATGCATGTTTGAAGTTATGCAGCTGGATTTTGCAGAGCATTAAGAATGTGAGGCTTCTATAGTCACACTGTAATTAAAGCAGCAGTTACAGTGTAAGTGGCTGCCTCTGCCTGTGTGAATATGACCATGCTCATTTTGCTCAGGCTATGCTGCTGCAATGTGTCTGCTACACAGACCAGCATCTTATTATTTGCCCTAATCAGAGGAGCTTGGCAGAGGGAGTCAGAAGACGAAGAGGCGTGGGAGAAGAGGAAAGATGAGGTGAAAAGAAGGAAAGGGGAGTTGACAGAATGTAGAAAATAACCCACATGCTACTGGGGGCTTCAGTACAGAGGGAAGAGACAACCAATGAGACGAAAAGGAGAAGTGGCTTTAAGTTGTGCAGGCTGTATGACATCCCCCTAATGAATCAGGGCTGGACAGTGATGGAGGAAGTGAGAGGAGGAGGAGGGTAAAATAGTCAGGAGCCAACTTCAAGGCTACAGGTCTGGAAAGAGAAGGGGAAAGGTGAGATAAGGTTGAACAGGAGGAGGGACAGAGATAATGTTTTTTGGACTTGTGTTAAGAGGCAGGTTGCACTATGTTTGAACGCCAAGGGAGCAAGCGAGAGGCTGAGGAGAAGGTTAAGACGGAGGAAAGGGGACATAGGAGGAGATAAGGAGAGGAAAAGATGTCATTTACTCTCCTGAGCTTGTCTACACATGCCGACGAAGTGAGGGTGTTAGGGTAGTGGGGGGTGGGGGTGGAGGGGGCGAGGAGGGTGAAGATATAATTTGTTCGTCTGCCAGGAGCTTGAGGTTGTGCTATCTGCGCACACAGCTGTACAGCGGCCTAATCAGCTTGTGTTGTGCCGCTCCGTCCCTGTGGAGTCACTCTCTGCACTCCTGTAACACCACCAATTGGTGCACATGCAGAAGTGCAGAGAGTGTGAGACTAAGCGGACCTGATTGGTGGTTTGTGACAAGCTGAGAAAGGGACCAGCATCAAAGTTATCAAAGACATCCTCTGTGATAACTCTAACAGGAAGTGTGAAGACACAAAGCACTGTACGACCACATAGTTCCCTTGTTGAATTTGAACAAAGTTCAAGTCTGAGTCAAGGAGAGTAAAGATGAAACGGTGTTCTCTGCACATCCTCCAGCAGCATGCAGCTGAAACTGGTGCGTCTCAAAACAGGGACAGCAAACTTCAAGGGAAGATTTGTAGCTTTTAGTTGTGCCAGCAGACTACTGTGTCCTCATCTGAGTTATCTTGACTCAGAGCGTAAACTCTGATCTGGTTAGACTAAACCTGAGCATTCTCTGCTATTAATTAGATCTAAAGGTGAAGTCCTCCTGGATTAATAAGGCCATTTTCTACATTTCTCTTTCTATTTAGCATCATATACTGTACCCTTTGTGAGAGCACAAACAAACCATGGCTATATCGGTTTTCCAAACCTGTACCAGGAAATTGTGGCTCACGTAGAGAAATACTGTATTATTACTGAAAGTGGCGAAGGCTTTTGTGCCATTTTCCCTGTCCTTGAGACAAAAGTCTCAGCAATTCCATTGACCAACCTTGGATAGATTTGTCGACATTTGAAGGATTTACAAAGGTGCTGTTAAGTTTGGTCGTCATTTATCTCAGGAAATGACAAATAAAATTGCTATGCACTTATGTTTTATTTCATGCACCTGCAACCTTGTGGCACTTGTGTCAAGTGGAACTGAGTCTTGCGGCACTTATTCTTGAAGGCTTGTCCTTGATCACCTGGGACTTGGATTGTACCTCATTTGTACATTGCTTTAGGAAAAATGCCTCTGCCAAATGAATACATGTAAAGTGCATTTAATTTACAAGACATGTTGTTGTAGGTGTGGGCTGACTGATAGCTAATACCTAAAGTAATGGTACTATCATTAGCAATAGTAAGTTACAGTTAGATCACACACATCAACACTCTTCTCTTCTGTAGTTCAAGCCCTCTGTCCTCACTATGCTGCTGTTGGGTGCAGCAATAAATCATAAACACTGTTGTTGTTGCAATTAAGAATAGCTAGGACTGTAAGCATAAGGTTTGCTGAATCATTTGACAATGATGGAAATGTTGTCAGAAGTCACTTTCGAATGATGCATTCACCTCATAGTAAATCAGGACGCTACATGACAGGACATGAGAGCATTTCTGAGTGAAAAATGTCTCTTCTCTGGACAGGGACAGTATAAATGACAACATTGCTTGATTCACTGGTTTCAAACTGCAACTTTATCCCATTTTGTTTTGACAGATGAATTAATACCCAACATGTTTTTCTCCTTTTCTACAGAGACAGCATCATCATCAGTATAACCAACTGTGCGACCAGCGTGTATGCCGGCTTTGTCATTTTCTCCATCCTGGGCTTCATGGCACACAACCTAAACGTCCCCGTGTCAGAGGTGGCCGACCACGGCCCGGGCCTGGCCTTTGTGGCCTACCCAGAAGCCCTCACTCTGCTCCCCATTTCACCACTGTGGTCACTGCTCTTCTTCTTCATGCTCATCCTTCTGGGACTGGGGACTCAGGTGAGGATGGAAAATTCTACACTACATACAGACAGACTGTGCTTGCACCCAAATTTAGAGTCATGTCTAAACACAGTAATGCATCAACACTGAATGTGAATTACTTTTATGATATTAAATTCATGTTTGTGGTAAATATGACGATGAGTGCAAGATTGTTTCCTTTTTGTATTTGTGATGTTCAAGCTTTTTGAACAGTTTGACGTCTTTGTTAAAGGGACAGGTCACTCCAAATTCAAAAATACATATTTTCCTCTTAACTGTTGTGCTGTTTATCAATCAAGACTGTTTTAGTGTGAGTTGCTGAGGGTTGGAGATGGCATCCCTAGAGATGTCTGCCCTGTCTCAGATATAACAAAACTACATGGCCCCTCGGCTTGTGGTGCGTTAAGTGCCAAAAAATATATTTGAAAAACACAACAGCAGTGTCTCTTTCCAGAAATCATGACCTGGTTACTTAAGATTATCCACAGACCTTACTCATGTAGGAACCATTTTCTCTCTACTGAACTACACCCACTAACTGTATCACTGCGCAGAAGGAAGCGTGCATCCACAGCTAGCTCATCTAGCATCACTGAGCTAGCTAACACTACAGCTGAGCCAAGGAGGATGCCATTAATGTTTACATCTCACGCTGCCATGAGAATGAGCGAGTAGATCCATGAAAAGAAGAAGTAATTTTAGCATCTGCCCAATCTCATCTCTCATCTAATGTCTTTATGATGTCTGCATCCCTGTTCTTTAGTTCTGTCTGCTGGAGACTCTGGTGACAGCTATCGTCGATGAGATTGGTACAGACTGGATCATCAGGAACAAGACTGTTGTCACACTGTCAGTGGCCATAGCTGGATTCTTACTTGGAGTGCCACTAACGTCACAGGTAAGTCCCAGAGACATGAAAGACATGTCTTTGAACACAGTTTATTTTGTCTCATGGGGGGTACAGTTTTGATTCATTCTCTGGTTTGTCTATGCAGGCAGGAATCTATTGGTTGCTACTGATGGACAACTATGCTGCTAGTTTCTCTTTGGTCATCATCTCCTGCATCATGTGCATCTGCGTCATGTATGTTTATGGTAAGGAGGGAGCTTAAGCTGTTCTTAAACTGTATATTGCTGTCATTTCTCACATCATGAAAAGAAAAAAAACATGCCGTGACACACTAATATGTTACTTCCTATAAAAACATATTGACTGTGGTTTGCAATTTGGGTTTTATTTCTGGTTTGGCGGTTCACTCATCTTATCTCTATAGACAATTTGCCACACCTAGACATTATGATTCCACAAAGAGATTGTTTCAGCATAATAGAGTCTGAAAGCAGAAACATTTTCTGTCACCAGAACATTAGCGGTAAATGTCAGATTGTCTGTGTCAAGCAAGAGTGGAGACAGTTGCATAGGAGAGGAACGTTTATCAAGGGAGGCAGAAGTTTTCACCGCCTTGTCAGTACAAGGATTTTAGCATTATTAGCTGAAATGTTCTAGCTTTTTTAAATACAAAGAATGTGAAACTCACCATTATACACCCAAATTAAACAATCACAATAAAAGATTTCATTGTACATGAGGCAGATGTTAGCGCAGGCGAGCACACAACGCTGCCTTAGGACATGTTTTCAGTATTTGCTTTGAGACTTCTCTGCTCTTAATAACGTTCCTTTACATGAGCTGAACACTAATACACCTACAGTGGTGGATTTATAGTGTTAGGCCCTCAGACTGCACTTTTTGTGGACACACATTTGGACACTGCATGGTAGCTCAAGCATACGTGCAGGGGGTATAGACAGAAAGACACCATGAATAGAAGGACATAAGGTGTGTAAATGTATGGATAACTATAACCTGTGTTAACACAGCAAGGCCTTTCTCTACAGGAACATACACAGGATTCATATTAAAATTAAGAAGTGGGTCATTACTGAGTGTATAATTTAAAGTAATATTCTTTATATTAATTATAATAATGCATTATATAAATAGGTGCCTTTCGAAGCACTTAAGGGCACTGTAGAAGACACAGTTAAAAAACAAGCAGCAATCAAACAGAGCAGTAATATACAAAAAAAGGTTAATAGAATAACTAGGTATAAAATCATAAAGTCATAGTCTGTGCAAAACTCAATGGGAGTGTAACCATTAGAGCGTGAGTATGTGAATAATGGACTTTTTTTTTTTAACTTTGCTATGACCCAAGCCATGCATCAGTTTCTTGTAGTCCAATCAGGAGCAAATTCAAATCAGCCCAAGTCAGCGACCCAGAGTCTGATATCAGCACTGAGATGATCAAGATAAATAGGAATGTCAGTGGATACATTTGATGTAGGACACAAATCCATCTCTCAAATTTTTAACTTTTTTTTTTTAATCTAACCAATGGGGGCCCCTATACATGTGGGGCTCCTCGGCTGCTGTCTTGGTCACCAACTTCAGCAGAAATAGACACAACGGACAAAAACAAACTAGATAAATTTAGGTTCAAGAGGCTGACACAAACATCACTCCTTGACTTCTGTGTCATTATTAAAATGTAAAATGAGTAATAAAACTTTCATGCACACATATTTTCCTGGATAACATTTGTTTTCATCGCAGGTCACACGAACTACTTTAAAGATGTGGAGATGATGCTGGGCTTCCCTCCTCCTCTCTTCTTCAAAGTCTGCTGGAGATTCATCTCCCCCGTCATTATCAGTGTGAGTGAACGCACACGCATAAAAACACACCTGCTGATCTGGGACCACAGTCACAGTGACGTAGCTATCTGAAGGACATTTAGTGTAAGCTAAACTTTGCACATTGTGAGGGACCTGACCTACATTTGAGCTGCCATCAACACTAATCTGTTTGGCTACTGTTGGCTTTGTTTCCAGTATAAACCTCTAAAAGCAAATCTTTCTGACTGGGAAATGGACACATGCAGCTCCTATCAATGGTATTTCCCAAGAAGGCGTATTAGTCCACTAAGCTGCTGGGCCAACCAAGAAATTCATTGTTGTGGATTACTGGTCAGATTTCAGGGACTTTTGTTCTCTCGCTCATTTCACTACACAGATTAATGCCCTGCTCACCAGGGTCTCTGCTCGAGCTGTGACTTAACTCAGTGCTGTTGGAAACAGTCATGAATTCTTATCATAATTATCTGCAAATTTTATGTTATAACAAAGATCTGTTTGCTGCTGATGCCAGTTTCTTGTCAAAAAAAGGAAAAAAAAGAAATTGGAAGTCATTTTTTTTAACAACAGAAACAGCAGCTATTTGTTTGGACAAATGTAATCAGGATGAGGAACTCTAAATGATTTAACACTAATTATTCTGGTATATATTATTGGGTTTTTTTTAACTATTATTGTGAATTTGATTAAATAGAGTATTAAATCATGTTAAGTTTTGTTTTCATGACCCTCTTTCTGCAGTATGTTTGATATGAGTTACACAGTGAAGAAAAACAATAAACAGTTTTTTTTTTTAGTAGCTTTTGTTTTCTGCCACCCCTCTGTATTTTTTAAATAAAGTGTAACTTCCATTAGCCCTTACTCATTCACCGTCTCTCTTCTGTCCTTGTAGTTCATCCTGATCTTCACAGTGATCCAGTACAAACCCATCACCTACAATGACTACGTGTATCCCGGCTGGTCTCTGGCTATCGGCTTCTCCATGGCTCTGTCCTCAGTGATCTGCATACCCATCTATGCCCTCTACAAGATCTCAAGGTCCCCAGGAGCCACCTTCAGAGAGGTACTGCCCCCCACAGCTGTTTCTCCTAATAGACTGAGCCTCCATGGAATTTCTTGCAATGTGTGGAACATAAATTGTAGGATGTAAACAGATCATCCCACTTGTACAATTTTCACCTTTATATAGCTGACACTTTTATCCAAAGCAACTTATAATAACTGACTTTATAGAGTGGTAGCCTGGCTCCCTTCGTAGTCACAAGCCAATTGGCAGTAGCAGAGCATAGTGGACAGGCTGGGGTGTATGCTTTGATCATGTCCTGGATGTAGGATGGGCCTGAGCCATTTGCAGCACGATAGGCAGGTACCTTATATACATATATTGTCTTGAATCGAATTCAAGCAGCCACTGAGAAGCAGTGCAGGGTGCTCTGTGGTGTGGGAGAACTTGGTTAAGTTGAAGACCAGCTGGGCTGCTGCAATCTTTACGAGCTACAGAGGTCGAAAGGCACACGCAGACCCATCAGCCAGTGTGAGTTACAGTAGACTAGGCATGAGATGACAGGAGCCTGGACTAGAACCTGCATCATCTCCTTTGTGAGGAATAGATGTATCCTCCTGATGTTGTTGAGAATCTGCAGGGGCGAGTTGTTGCAGAGGTCACCCAGCATCACACCCAGGTCCCTTGCCCTCCAGGTCAGGGACACAGTTCTCAATCATGATAATGAGGTCCTGGACAAGAGATGCCTCACCTTGAACGAGAAACAGCTTAGTCTTGTCAAGGTTGACGTTGAACCATGGCTACATGTCAAGAAACTTCCATATATCATCAAAACATCAGTTGTTTATGTATTTATTTAACTAATCTTTACATTTTCATGATAACCTGTTTATTTCCTGTACTGAAGGATTCCTCTCTCTTGCATTACTTGGCAACATGTAGTCTAGCTAAACACTGATCAGCTGATAGTAGGTAAGGATTTCATATGCAAACAAACAGGAGTTTCAAATTCCTGACCAATTTTGAAATCCACTTTCATCGCACACATGATGAGGATGAATACAATGCATCCCATGACCTCGAATTTATTATTAACTAGAAATAAGTTTTTTTTTAAGCCCTTAAATGGATAGTGCACCCAAAAATGAAAATTCAGCCATTATCTACTCACCCATATGCCAAGGGAGGCTCAGGTGGAGTTTTAGAGTCCTCACATCACTTGCGGAGATCCCAGGGGAGAGGAGGTAGCAACACAACTCCACCTAATGCAGGCTGACGGCGCCCCAGATTCAAACGTCCAAAAGCACATAATTGAAACCACAAAATATCTCCATACTGCTCGTCTGTAGTGATCCAAGTGTCCTGAAGCCCCAACATAAAAAGTTGTTTGGAAAAACATCATTTGAACTCTGTTTTTAGCCTCATTGTAGCAACAACAACTTTTTATGTCAGTGTTGCTACCCCCTCTCCCTTGGGATCTCCGCAAGTGATGTGAGGACTCTGAAATTTCACCTGAGCCTCCCTCGGCATATGGGTGAGTAGATAATTTTCATTTTTGGGTGCACTATCCCTTTAAGGCAGCTAAATTGACAATATGGATATAAATGTCAATAGTAGTCGGACTAACAGTTGAAGAGTGAGAGCTGAAAGCAGGTGAACTGTCAGCTGATGAGTACTCACCATAGACTGTATAAAAACAATGGATGGAGCCACTGTGATGTCACCCATTGGTTTGTGGACTCCTGTTTAGAAGCCTTGAGCTCGGTGTTTTGGTCATTGCCATCTTGCTTTCATGAAGCCAGCAGTGATTATATTTGAAAAGGAGGATGGAGAATATGGTACTTCGAGCTTAGTCCAAAGTTGATTCGATCAAGCTTAAACTCAGATCCTTAAGTACACATTCTTAGACTTGTTAAATGCCCCCCCCCCCCTTTCAGTTTCCGCTCATATTGATGCTGCTTTGAATGACGTGTCCCTCTTTTTCTGTCTATCTCAGCGGTTGAAGTTTGCTTGCCGGGCACATCCAAAGTGGGGCCCTGCCCTGCAGGAGCACCGGACAGGCCGCTACGCCCCCATGGCATCCGAAGACACTGTGGAGGCTCGTCCCCTCAAGGAAAAGGAGGAGCTGAAGGAGGAGCTAAAGGAAGAGCTGAAGGAGGAGGAAAAGGATAGAAAGGATGAGATCAGCCTCACCATCCAGGGAAGCAACGGCTCCACTAACACACACAACAACCCCAACCCCAGCGCATAGACGGCACTCTGCTCTGTCAGCGCTACCGGGTGCAGCTCACGTGCCCCACCATCTCTTCCTCCCTTCTCCTCCCTTCTCCTCCATCCTCACCCCACTTTCCCACAGTCCTCTGTGGGGGAGATCCCATTCGCTGGAGACCTTTACATATTGTAAGGGCTTATTATATCTATCCTAACCTCTTCTATCTATCTGTGTGTTGTCTCTAGATAAACGAAGAAGAAAAAAAAAAAACAAAAGGAAGAAAAAATTGGGTCATCATCCAAAAGATTTGTGTGTATGTTAGTGTGTGTGTGTGTGTGTGGGTGGGTTGTTAATTTGTTACACATAATTTAATAATGCAGTTTGTTTTTCCTTTCATTTTTTTGTAAAACTTGTATATGTCATCTTCATATGCAGTTAGAGGTACAGTAGATTGTGAAGCTGCATGGGTTTGTTTTGTGCATGCAGCAACATAGAGACACACACTGTTCTCCTTTATTCTGTTAGCTGGGTCTGTTTGGGATCGGTGACTTTCTAGCAGCAGCGATTTGACAGCTGGAGACTTGTGAAGCGATACACAGTGGTGCTGTAGTAAAGAGGAGCAGGGTGAACTGTGCCTGAACTGGCCATTTACAGTTTGATGATGCTGGAAGATGGAAATCGGTTCAATTCTGTTGCCAGGAAAAGAGGCAGACACAGTCATTCACACCCGTACACTCACACTATTGTACATTTTACAGCACACAGTGACCTCAACCATAGTTGATCTCAGCTTAAGACTAAGCCTGTTGTTATTTTATGCTGCTTCTTATAAAAAGTTCGACAGAGCACACATATTTAACACCCGAGATGGCGACTCACACTTAGGGCTGATTTTCTGTGGAAATTTCCTCCATTTGTAACTTTTTTTTTTTTTTCCACTAAAGCTGCTTAAACTTTGAAAACTCAGCAGAGAAATATCAGTGAACTTAAACGGTGCTGTACTCTCTGCCTCCACATTCACACACACACACACACACACACAGACACACACACACGCACACATGCATTTATTTAAATTTTTTGGACAGTAGAGATCCCAGTGCCCATTTCTCAGGGTCCAAGCGAAGTTAAACTTGGTTTCTTGTTGTTCCTTGCCTGTGGAAACCTCGTCTCCACTTAGGTGGCCTGTTAAGATTATAGGGACAGAAACCAGCTAACTTTCCCCGCTGTCGACAAACACCAACACACACACACACAAAAAAGGTGGATGCAACTCTGTATATAGAAGTGCCATCTTTCCTTAAGTCTTCCAGGCATTCTTTTGAGTGAAATGCATCTTGGGATGTAGTCTGTGAAGGAGGATCCGGGCGTGAGGACGTAGCTAGTGAAAGGATCGTAGGTGTGTCGTAGTCTGTGTCTCCTGTGGGTCGTAGCAATCTGCCCCATTAAGGCATGTTACCAAAAACATTACCTGAGTTACCTGAGTCCTGCACATGTTTTTGGTAACATATATACTGTATATCTCAGAAAGACTGGTATGGTGTCAGTCTCTTACAGTCAGTGGAACCTTTAATGTATTTACAGGCATTTTTTTTTTTTAGCTCTGAGCCAAGCTGTGCAGTGACTGGTGGAGAGACAGAAAGCAGAGAGATGCAGCTTGTTTCCAGATGAATACAGAATAAAGATCTTAAATGAATTATGTAGATTTAAATGTAGCTGTATAGTATCGTTCTCTCAGTAGAATTCTCCTTTTTACCTCTCATTATTGTAAAGTAATAATAATTAATAAAGACCGCATATGTTTATTTTGTACAAAAATAAAAACTGCAGAATCATAATTAACATATTTACCATTCCTCATCCGTGACTTGATTTGTTGTTGTTTTGTTGGAGGCTGTGACAGGACAGAGAGAGGGTCTCTTTAGCATGCAGAGGTGGGTCTCCCACAAGTGTCTGATTGGAAAGCATCCAGGACAACTCTGTAGTAGTGTGGTGGCAGTCTAAATACAGAACAAATACATGAGAAGTGTTATTTTGTCATTGTGACAGCTGTGTGAAGATCACATGTTCTTGGTCGTTTCATCCTAAGATGCTTTGTTGGACTCCTACTCAGGTGGTAGAGAGATGCTTTTAGCTTCACAGGCAGGGAGGATTTTTGGGATTGCATCAGGTCTGGCTGTAATGTTTCTTCGTGTTGTAGTTTTTAGCTTTTCTTTGTTTGTGAGCTGTCAAATCATCAGTGATATCGAAGAAGTGATATGGAGAACTAGAGGGCTATGATACCTGTATGAGCATGGAACATATTTACATGGTATACAGAATTGTTGTATATTGTATACAGCACATTTACACATATGGTTTGATATTTTGGGATATGCTCGTGTTTGCTTTCTTGCTGAGTCAGTTGAGAAGATTGATAACACTATTATGTTTGTGTGGTAAATATGTGGTTAGCTTAGCTTAGCATAATGACTGGAGATGGATGGAAACAGCTAGCCTGACTCTGACCAGAACAAAATCTGCCTACCAGCTCCTCTTAAGCTCACTTATTTATTTAATTTCATCTAATTTGCAGGGTTCAACAACAAGGATTGCCTGGTTGTGTGGGGCAAGTAAAGGGCCACATCAGGCTAGTAAATCTAGCATCTCTCTTGCCCAGTCAGACAAGTGGTAAAACAGAAATAAACACATTGTTTCTCTGGAGCTGATGAGAGAAGTAGTTAAGGAATGAGCCATCTTGCCTCCCTTTCAACTCTGTTGAGAGTTGCACCCTTGCAGTAGTGATCTAGCACTGGCAAAAATGGCAATATGAAGACTGAGCGCAAGCATTTCGATTATCCTGGAAGCAGGAGTGTAGGTATGTGACGTTAGAGGATGTGGGCAAAACTCAAACTTTGTATTGCCCAGATTGCCGCAAGTCTAAGAGCAAGACGGATAAAACGGGGTTGTTTTTCATGACGTTTAGCTTTACTCTTTGCCATTTGATAAATGCTAAGAAATAAGACAATTTGTATAGGGACAAGAAAGCCACTTGACCAACTGGGCAAGGAAAAAAACATTAATGTTGAACCCTGGTTTGTTTATTATATACAAAAACTTGCTGGTTGCCAGACAACTCCTCCCAGCCATGAGATAGTACAGCACATAAGTCATCAAATTGTCATTTTGACACATGAATTTATGTATGGAATAAACAAGTTCTGATGTGTTAATTACTGAGCTTTAGTCGTGCTGGTAGGTGGATCTTTTTACCTTTGGATAGCACTGTGCTAGCTGTTTCCTTTGTTTCCAGTCTTTATGCTAAGCTAATACCAGCTGATACCAGCTGCTTACTCCAGCTTCATATTTAGCAAACAGATATGAGCGTGGTATCAATCAAGTCACCGAACTCTCAGGAGTAAAGCAAAAATATGTATTTTCCAAAATGGTGAACTATTCTTTGAAGGATTTATATATGTTCATGCTTGTAAGGCTTTTCAGCAATTTTTATAAATACTGAAGCACAATTTCAGACTAAATCTGCACATCTTTTCTTTTCTTTTACCACTTTTCCCCACAAGTATGTCTTCAGAGGTGGATAAGGATTTTAATATGACAGTGTAGTTGCTCCTCTGATCCACAAGATGGAGCGATGCTGACACTCAGGGTAGTAAAGGCACAATAGAGGTGAACTGTGAAATAAATACAAAAAGCCCAACAGACACCAGACTTTCTTTGGTTATGAGTAAAGGAAGCAACAAGGAGAGAGGTCAATGATAAGCACAGGAGCTCAGACATAGTGAAAATAATCACAATAAGCACAGTGAGCGTTCTGAAACAAGCACACATTTCTACCCAGGTTTTTTTACAGGACAGTTCTCAGATGATAGAAATGTCCACTGGCTAATCACAAGGGTGGAGAACTGTAGCTTTGGCTGGTAGTTAATGGTCTGTTTTTACCTTCTAGTTTTGGTTTATTCCTAAACTAGTCACACCACACATTGTATTTTGTGATAGCATTTTTTTATTACATTACTGCAAAACCAGGTGCTCTATGAAACAATACACTTTCACCATCTACTAATCGAAATATGTTGCGTTGCTTCCTCTGAGTAGAAATCCATCTTAGGAGCGTTTCACTTTCTACATGAGGTTTTATTTGCTGAAAAAGGAGAATGTGAAGTTCTTATTCTCAGCGCATACTGGGACAGCTTGTAGCTCAGACCATTTCCTGTTTGTGGTTGCCTGTCTCGTGTGTTCATGCTGTAGTAAGTGAAGCTTAGCCACCATGTTACCATCTCTATATATCCCAACCCTCACCATTTCTGCTGGCCCCACAACTCTTCCTCCCTTTGTACAGTAATGTAAAAAATATATAATCGGACTGTGTGTATGTGTATGTTTATCTTTGCTTTGATTTCGAGGGTGGGTAAGTGTGTTTTTGCAGGTCAGGGGAGGGTGGGTTATTGTTTCACTTTGTTTTTGATTTGTCACTTTTCTCGTAGTGTATATGTAGATGGCGTCAGGTGTATTGTGTACTCTGTGTGTAGTGGAATAGCTCTTACTGCTGAGCCTGCATGTAGAGCAGGTGTAGTGTCAGTATTGATGTCAATGTACCTCTAACCTGTCGGAACTAGCCAAGTCTTATTCTGCTAATGATATAGTCTATCTTTTAAGAAAAAAAAAAAAAAACATTTTGTACTAAAAGAAGAGAAAAAAAACTACATATTTTATCTTCAGATTTTAATCACCGTTTATCCAATGTTCAATGACACTACTCTTTTTGTTTGTTTGTTTGTTTGTTTTTGAAGTTGTAATCATTGAAAGATTAAAGATAAAGCCAGCTAATTTTAAAAAAGCATTTCCAAACAAAAAACTTTGGATTGAAACTTGAACTACAAGAGAATGGTTCATTTTTACATTGAGCTCTGGTGTAGAAGGTGGCTGCAGCTACATGATGATGCTTTTTTTTAAAAAACAATATCACATGAACTTAAAGCTATGTTTTACAAAGTGTAGTGCCAACAGTCGTACCAGATGTTTACCTTGAATATTCTGTGGCCCTTAACCCAAACAGTTTGGCTTTTTCTGTCTAGTTGTTACAAAATGTTTAGAAAAATGGTAAAAATCAAAACACCAAAATAACTCTGCCTCAAAGACTAAATTGGCATCAGGACCTATGAACTCATATTTTCATTCTTGTGCAGCTCTGATGCATAATATCAGAACACAATATAGTTTTATTTGTACAGTTTAGGCAATTATATGGCATGTATGTATCAGGCGAGGGCTCAGTTACTATTGTAATCTGATTTCTCTTTTTGGATACCCTTCGATTATCTGGCAGCCATGAGAGTAAGATCAATTTAGTCATTCAGAAAACCTACAAAGACACAATTGACAGTAGTTAATAACCGACCCATGTCTTGAGATACTAATATGCTATTGCCTACTATCATGTTACACTGAAGTGATGTTGAAGACGTGAAGCTTTGGACCATTTTTATACACAAATTCACAGCACAACTGCTCTACTGTACTAAAAACAAAACTGTGATTTTACCTTGTTTCTGTGGTTCTCTGTAAATTGCAGAACATTACCTCTTGAATTTCTTACTACTGCTCATATAAGCATAATCTTATGTTTCAGCACTTTAAAGAAATCATTCATTTTTTTGTATAAGCAACAGGAAGAAACTAAATAATGATTCACACTACCATTTTAAAAAAAGAAAACAAGTACAGTAAATAATGTCTTACTATCAGTGGTCTGGCTGAAAGGAACTGTCCAGGTGTCAGTGGACAAACGCTGTGTTGTTGCTATGCCAATGTAAATTGTTTTCATGGGAGGAGTGGAGAGGAAAAGCACAAGTGAGAAAAGAGAACACAGTTCTTCTGGTATCCTCTATCATATCTATCTGTCTATCTATCTAACCATGTCTGTTCTTCTTGTTCTTCAACCTTTAGGGCCAAAATCCATTGAAATGTCTTAGTCCTGTCAGCTGTATATCGTAAACTGTTGAATTACAAAATGGTAAATAAAATCTATTTTAAAGATCAGTTCGTTGCAGTGTTGTGTTTCGTGATGTTTTTTAACATCCCTTTGTATGACTCAAAATGCATAATGCTGAACTTTCTAAGAATAAATGTAATAACTGGTATTTTACATTTACCCCATTCTTTTCTGGTTCACTTATCCTTCATGCTGTAGGTGCTGCATGTTAAAAAGGCCTTCAACAACTTAATGAGTGAGCACTAAAGCTGAGTTTGAATTATTCATACTATATACAGTATTATGGAAATGTTGGTGTATATATGTATGTTATTATGGAAAAAGACTATGTGAAAAGAATAAATATCACATAGAACATGGACAAATACAAAGTATGGAATCCTCATTACCAAAATTGCTATATTTCTCTGTTTACCAGTGATCCAGACTTTCTACCACTTTAAAGTCTGACTATATAATCTTTGAAAAAGAAACACAACATTCCCACAAACTAAAAGTTACATTTATAGGGAATAAATGCACCTTTGATCAATCGCTACAGCCTCACTTGGTCTGATATGACCACTTGCTAATGTTTTCCAAAGTTAGCAGACTTTAAAATAAAAATATTGCTGTGCAACTGATGCTGAGAGAGTTTGCAGTCTGACTTCTTTACTTACACCATGTTTTAGCATATTAGGGAATTTTGTTTTGTCCAGGGGTGAGGTGATAAATAGCCTACTTGAATTACTGTTTATATGGCTGCCTACCAATAGTTGACCAAACGCAGCAGGATTTTATTGCCTTGTCAAAATAAATCAAAACCTATATGACTGGACCATGTGAGAATTTAATTTGAAAGGAGAGACACAGGAAGTGGTCATGCTCAGCAGTCAGACAGGAGTCACATTAATTTACAGGGTTGGTACCTGCGGTTATTACACAGGCCAGTTAATAACATGTCAGGCAGGAAATCCAAAGTGTGGGATCATTTTGAGAAGGTGAAGGACGAACCCAAGGTGATATGTAAACTCTCATTCATCGACTACAAACATGACAAATCATCTGAAACATATATGTAGCTACATGCTCATTAGCCAATTAGCGCAATCATTACTGCTTTGCCCACAGTGTGATTAAGGTGCGGCTCGCTCAGTGTGTGACGTGCACTTGTAGATAAAATATAGGCCTATATTAATTAAGGATCATTAGTACAGTTTTGTATTTCTCTGTAATGTAGCACAGTGTTAACAGTGTTACTGATACTATTCTTTCTCAGACCTTCAACTCAAACCATTGTGTTGCCCCACCCAAAATGTGTAATTTAATAATTAAATTAAAATCGTAAACATACAGGCGACTAGTCGTCTATTTGCCCTAAATGATGACTATTGGTCAACTAGGAAAATTCTTATTCTTCCTCACTGTTTACAAGTAACCCAGGTGAGCACGCTAAGTGACCCAAATCAAACACACAAGATGTTGCACGCAGGGTTTGGCAAAAATGCTCATGGTGGATCCTCCAGCGGTGACTTCTGCATTCATTAAGGAACTTTTCCACTCAGTGAGGTGTGTGAGGTGTACCTATGATTTTTGAAAATCCTTGTGATGGTGACTGCAGAGCCTCATTAAGCCTAAGACGTTTTGAATTTTAGGAGTGCAGTGGGACAGAAAAAATGAGACTGGTTATGGTGGGACAGAGAAGTTGGGTGGACTGGATGTGTTTTTTTTAGAGTAAATTAGAAGAGAAGTTGAACTCAGAGCGTACTGCTGAGGACTTTGCAGGGTTCAAGGCACAGAATGTTGTTCAGACAGGTGAGTACAGTAACACACCAACTGAACTCACTCTGCAGATGAGAACATCAACGACCACTGCATTGCCTAGCAACGTGGCATGGTGTGTGTGCTATGTGGTGTGTAAAAAACTGCAGTCTTTCATTTGCTTTAATGTGTGTTTGTAGCTGCAGCTGCTGTGAAATTTATATTGTTTATACACTGTGTTGTCTGCCCTGGTGATGTTTTATTCTGCTGTTGATTCTATAGGACGCATCAGGTTATTCCGGTGGCTCAATAATGCTATTTGTATCGGCTGGGGTGTCGACTTTTGATGTGTGGTCGGCTGTTTTTGTTTATTTGTCTGGGTTTTCTCTCTTTTCTAGTTAATTCTTAAAAGGCTACACTGAGGAATGTAGTTGTATATTTCCCTTTTAAAAATGTAACACAGTACAACACAGAACTAAGCATACATTTTAAATGACTTTCCTTTTTACTTTTATTTAAGTACATTGTTACAAAAGTCGCCCACTTCTCCTTTACCTTTAGTAAAATTTCTTTCAAGGAACAGCATTTTTATGGGAGTACAATATTCTAGTACTGTTTCCACCTATGCTTTATTTAAAACAAGAAATAAACATGCTGCATTTCCCTGAGACACGTTCAGAGAACCTTGGGAAATGAAGGGAAATTGTGGCATTAACCAGTAATTTCCTCAACTCAGCAACAGTTGCATAGACTTGAAGCAGTGTCCTGACTGATAAAAAGACTTTAATATCACCTGGCTGACAGCCACGTGCTTCAGCTGAAAGCCTTTATCAGGTTGTCAAAGTGAAATTAAGACACTCGCTTAAATGGCACAAGGCATGACATAAATGAGTTCTAAGTGTGAAGATGGAGGCAAAGAGGATGGCAGAGCTGCAGGCATCACACAGGAGACAAAAAACGCATGAAACCCACCCAATACATTCACAATACAGAGCACATAAATCCTAACAGACAATACAAATTGGAATTCAAAATGAATAAATAACAAAAAATGAAACAGGAAATGCATGTTGAGAGGCCTCCCACAGCTGCTATGATTTTTTTTTATAACATTTACCAAACTCAATCATGATGCAGTGTCTAGATGCAAAACTTCACTGGCTGAAAATGTATGTGTGAGTTCTACCCAGAAGTGATTTCCCCCCCATTTACTTCTCAGACTGGTCAAGCTGAATGACTTTTAGCAACCAGAAAACATAAAACTATCCTGTATTTCTCTAGAAAAAAGTCAGAAAAAAACCTCAATATAAATATGACAGAGCAATGCTTCCCACCTGTTTTCTGTCACCCCTGTCTCGTTAGTCCTTCCCTGTTCGCTGAGTCTTCCCTTCACACCTGTTCTGTATTAGTCTTGTTTACTCCACCCTTGTTGGAAGTCAATCTCCATTTCCCTCCTTTTGCCCATGTGTTCCTAATCCAGCTGTGCCTTGTTCTTGTGATTAGTTTTCTGTATATGTTTCCCTTTATACTCTGTCAGTTCATTTGTGTTGATCCTGTGTTCCTCTTGTGTACCTTCTGTGGTTGTTCCTGTGCTCATCCCTGTTCATTGCATTTTTCCTGGTTGGTTTTCAGTTTTTGTTCTGCTTTTGTTTGGATTTTGAGTTGCCTCCCTGTACTGGATGTTTTCAATCGGCTACATTAAAGCTAGCTTTTTGTTGAAGATTCAAGGTGTTTCTCAATCTGCGTTCTTGCCTGTAATTATGTTCTTGCGGACTTGTGGAAGGTCATCAGTCGCAGCCCAAGTACTGTTCCAATTGAAAGTCCTCATCCAGCCAAGTTCAGTTCAAATGCCCGGATGTGAACTTGCTCTGCCCGTTCCATCAGGGATGCATTGGGAGGTGACTTGTGTGGACTTTTGACAGCCAGGTATCCCAGAATGCATTTCTCACAGACCAGCGGCAATGGCAGCGGTCCTTGGGAGTTTGTACTCCCGAGTCAAACTTGCCAAGTCCGAACTCCCAAGTGCACAAGTCCGAATGTGGCGTACTTGGTATTGGAAAAACGCTTTCAGACTGTCTGTTGGTCTGCATTTGGGTCCTCCTCTGAACTGACACGTAACTGTAACTTAACTCAATGTAGCACAGCAGTTCACAGGGCAGCTACAGTGTCATGTAATGACTTTTCCACTAGATGGGGTTGGACAGCCTTCAATACACAATTCATTAGCCCCTTTCTTGATTTTGGCTAGATGATCAGCACTGATAATGATCAATAATCTGGGATAATAATATCTGAACATTTTCATGCCAAACAAATACAACCATCACGTGTTTTTGTCAGCGTGAAAATGTTACTGAAACATTGAGCGTCTAGACCATCGCAGACCACTGAAACCCTGACTGAGATCAACAGCTTGATTAGTAGCACCTGATGGACAGCTGACATACTGCACCCAAAAACATAGAAAACTCTGACCTCTGTATTTGAAATTGATTCAACAAATACTTCATTATTTAAGGGTCCAGTGTGTAGGATTTAGGGGCATCTACTGGTCGAAATGGTGTGTAATATTCCTGACTATGTTTTTATTAGTTTATAATTACCTGAAACTGCTACCTTAGAATGAGCTGTCTATATCTACATGTAGAGTGGGTCCTCCCCCACAGAGTCCGCCATGTTGCTCTACAGCAAACACTGGCTCTAGATAGGGCCATTCGCATCAGCGTGTTTTTTTCGTGATTTACCTCGACCACGTGCTTGGCATGTGAGAGAAGTTTTAGCAACCTCACCGCTTGATGCCATCAAATCCTACACACTAGACCTTCCAATAAAATACCTGGAAACAGACAGAAATGTGACTCCTTCTGTTGCGTCCTGTTACAGTTCTTCTCGATTGCTAAGACGCATTTAATGAAACTGGGATCCACAGTAGAGGTCTTCTTTTATGAATGTCTTCACACTTTTTCATTCGTTTCACACATTTTTCACACCCTTTTTTAAAACAGGTAACACAGATCTCATAGAAAGACCCAACATTCCATTGTATTCACTGTGTTAAACAGAAGGAAAATATTTACTCACAGCTCATAGGGATCGCGTGTAAAATTGTAAATCTTTAATGCATCTGTGTGAAACTCCTTTGCACAACTCTTTGGCCAGCAATCAGTCCTTTTCCATCATAAAAGATGTCACCTCTGTGTGGCTATTTTCAAACATAGATCAAAGAGGTGAAATGCTAACTAAAAATAATACTGTATACTGTACCACTATACTGGACACTGTGATGAATTTAATGCAATAAATGACA